GTGTGTGTGTGTGTGTGCGTGCGTACCGCTGTCTCCTGGTCGTGCAGGGCAGACAGGCCCGGTTCACATGGAGCCGGCTCCTCTTGTGTCCTTTGTTGTCGCTCTGGGAGTCTTTCCCACTGGAGCGTGGTCGGTACAGTTTCGCGCCGCGAGCTGCCACGGAAAACAGCAAAACGTCTGTTTTTCTGTTTCGTCTTAATTTTTCCTCTGATTTCACTCATTCTGCAGTCCACCCTCCTTTTTATCTGCCTCATTCACAGCTCCTTTGGTCCCTTTTGCCTTCTTAATCTGCTTTTTCCCCCCTTTATCTACATTTCTCTGAGCCAGTCTCTCCCTCCACTGTCTCCTTGGCCTCACCATCCCTCTCTGTCTGTTCGAATTCATCAGCTATCTGGATGTGTGTGTGTGTGTGTGTGTGTGGGAGTGTGGTTAGTATTCATAAATAGACCTCTGTAGAGCTTTTATTGCTAAGCATCACTGGGAGCAGAGAGTCTGCTTGACTAGAAAGGCTCGTATTGAAGCCTTGAGAGTTTTGCAGAGGAGCATATGCCAGATAGTTGCAGATTTTTAGGCATTGTGTCCTGGTTGCAGTGCTGTCTGCAGCCTTGCCAAGAGGCTGGAGGGAGAGTGTGTGACGTGTCGATGGCGCACAAGCTTTTCTTCAGTTATTTATTTTCTCCGATTCTGGCTTGTACCAGATGAGGCTATTTGAGGCACAAGTTGTGTGTGTGTTTGGAGTGCTAATGATTCACAGTCGTGCTCATTCTGTTGGTCATCTGGAGGGTTTGAATGCTGACAGCACACTCTTCGGGTTTGTTTTTACTCACTCTTCCATCCCTCCTACTCATCGCCTCTCGTTGCCACTTTCATTCATGCACCTAACCTCCCCTCTCCTCCTCCTCCTCCACCTGACTCAATCCAGTCTTCACAACAAACATGATCCCACCTGGCACTTTCCCTGTGGCTTCTAGCGGCAGCTTCGACCTTGTTCCTATTCGACCAGCAACGCCAGTCAGACCCTGAGCAGGCAGGTAAACGGGCAGGGATTATTGTTCTGTGACCCGCTTTCGCCTTCAGCCAATAACAGGTATTTTAAGTCCGCCCAGGTGAGTCAGCAGAGGGAATCAGAATATGAAAAAAGGGTATTAGTGGGAAATGTCAGCCGTGTGACGGCAGATGCCCGAGCGCTGTGCCAGATTCGTTTATTTCTCCCTTCCACAGCTCTTCCCCACACCAGCAGATTATTACTTTCACCCACCTACGGCAGCCTGTCCAATCCCCTCTGGCAGGACTCACGGCCTTGGTAGCAAGCGAAAGCTGATTTACACGTCGGACCACATCCCCGACTATCAAATCAGGACCGGGCAGCTCACATTTCCGAGGAATTTATGGAAATATATGAGCAGCATGTTTACAAATTTCACATCATTGCTTAGTCACTAGACAAGCAGAGGCCGCAAAAGTCCATAGAGTGCACCGAGGAGAGAAACAAGCACAGACATCAGAGTTCAGCTGTTCAATTATGACCCAGAATAACCAAGACGAGCACATGCTCAGTGAAGACGAGCGCTGCTCTCACCATCTGTCTCTCACTCATGTTTGTTTCAAGACAAGAGGGAAGTGGGAGGCATGAAAGTGCTCTGTTGTTGCAGGTATTTCTTTCCTCCCAGAAATGAGCTCTCAGGAATGACCGGATGTGAAAGGCTGTGCCTCATTGTGCTGCAGGCATGTGTGCTTTAGTGTGCGATTGGATTTTGTTTGTAGGGCAGCTGTTGAACCTCCAGTATCTCATCAAGTGAGATGTTTACTTCTCTTCTGACATCTTATTGTTCAAAAGGAAGCTGAAGAACTGATCAGTGGAATGATATGGTTTTCCTCGTCCTCGTGACCTCTGTGGACGAGTTGACGTGATTGGTTCAGTTTGTCTGCTTGTTAGCGGGATTGCTCAGGTTTTAACGGAGGTGAGTTTAGGCTAAAGTTGGACGTGATTGACTTTTGATGCTGATCCACGTCTGTATCTGTATCCTGGAATGTTTTTAGAGGATTTGTTGCTATTTCAGTTCACATCTTTGCTAATATGTATAAAATGTAAACAAAAAAAGGCTTGAGTGACATTATCTTGATATTCTAAAAACCAAATCCAGATCTAGATATCAATCTGTGTCCAAGACACAGTAGCACATGTTACAACAACAGCCTTCACGCTTGTAGCCTCTCCAAGTGTTGGATGAGATTGAGTGCGACTGGAAGCAGAAGGTCAGGACGGATGCTGTGTTGACATGGTAACGTGTGAATGATGTGGTGGGATAGGGGCTAAATTGGTTCTTTGTCAGGGGGTCGCAGCTGTCACCTGAAGGGAGGTTCCCTCTATGGGTCCCAGCAGGGCTTCTCTTAATGAGGAGCACAGAGACGCAGATGCCGCCCGCAATGCCGCGTTTTGCGGGTGGACTGTGTACGTGCGTTTACGCTCAAAGTATCGCTGAACGTCCTGCTGGCACAGAGTGTTGAAGCAGGATCTAAACAACCATACTGGCGTTTGCTGAGTGATACAAAAAAAAACTGCATTCCCCCGTGAATTGCTGGGAGTAGTGGGATTATTGGATCTCGCCAGACACGCCCCGGGCATGTGTGCGTCTGTCTGTGTATGCGTGTTTGTGTGTGTGTTAGCATGTGTGCTCCCTGAACCTGATCCCCCTGCACCACCAGCTGTTGTATGCACTCGGATATGAAGCGTTACAATAACCAATTGCAGTGAGCTCTTTATCCGGCAGTGCTGCTCTGCTCTTTTAAGGTTGTATCTATATACTATGCATGTACATGTCATGATCTGTTAGGCTTTAGGTCACCTTTAGACAGGCAAGAAATGAAAGGAATTATGTGGAGGATAAATTGAGGGGGAGGGCCGAATGGGGTCTGTGTTTGGACAAGCATGTCTCTAGAGCCCTGTAGAGGGATTAAAGGATCAGCCTCTGATAATTTCTCCCTCTCTTCCTCCCTTTCTTTCTTTATTTTACTTATTCTGCTAAATAAGTGGGTTGTGTACTTCTGCGAAGCAGCACCGAGTTCGTGCAAACACTCCGTCGGTTTGTCCTTTTACTCAGTCACGATCTCTTTCGGAAAGTCCTGTAAATAAATGCCTGTGGAAATGAAACCCGCAGCACAGACATTATTCATGGGATTCTACGCCCATAGAGATCTTCCATTAGAGATTAATGGAAAAGAGCAAGAGGTCCATTTCCTGTTCTTGGTGCTGGATTTGTAGAATAAAGGCACTAAAGATTCTTGTTGTTTGGAAAGAGATTTGGTTCAAAACAAAAAAGTATGTGCATGTTTCTGTCCAGTCAGCCATATCCACCCACAGCAAGCCCACGTCAGAAGCCCAGCTCTGAGAGCCATTTGTGAGGTGGAATTACAGCATGGGCCTTTGCTCGTACAGCTCGTTTGTCTCTGCTTTGGAAGGGACGGATTTATTGGATACCTGAGAGAGCATTCTCTCCTTCCCCTGCACTCTCAGCAGCCTGCTTAGAGACAGGCCTGCATTATAGATGAGCTCCTGGCAGCCGCCCCACACTCACACCACTCATGTTACCCGTCCAGTAGATACACGGATACAATACATGCTTTTGGTGAACACTTGCAAAAAGCATTGAACAGAAGCTTGGAATAAAAATGGGATTAAAACTAAGTTTGAAATCGGGACTCAGGCGGTCTGTTGCAGCTTTGTCTGCAGAGAACTTATCTGCAGCCGAGTAATCAGGGCTTGTTTGTACTTTGACCCGTGCCAAGTGGAGGAGCTCTACGACCGTGCTGCAGAGAGCAACATAAACCACGCTGGCTTCAGTTGGACTATATGACTGTCCTCCTTCCACGTAACACAGAGCCAGGGCACTGCTCTGCCTCTCTGTCTCCTCCCTCCTGGACTTTGATCTTTTGTGACCGTGCGCACTGTGCAGCTTCTCACTATGTCCCTTTCTCTCTCTCTCTGTCTCCCACACTCTACAGCTTGCTCAGGCATGATTGGATTTTTGTCCTTGTGGATTTAAAAGAGAAAAAGCTCAAGTGTCATTTACACAGTGATTGATTCACTTTTTTTCCCCTTTTGGGTAGATGAACACAGTCAGACTGTGGATAAAAGGCCATCTGTTTGTCTGAAAACACAGCGTGCGGCACACTTGCAACAAATTAAAGCCTCGGCCTGGAGGATTTGACCGGTTTTGACTTTGGCAACTCCTGGTGGCAGTGTTGGAAAAATGCACTGTGCGTACAGAACACCTCTAGTCCAGGTACACTGACCTGCTATATATGAGCGGCTACAAACCCAATTACTACATCATGAATGTAGGTACACTTACAGGAAAAAGGGCTTCAGCACAGGTAAGAAATAATATTATATTTGAGAAGCAATTAGTAGTAATCAAACACACAGAGATTTTAGTATAATATTAAAAATATTCAGAAATTGTTGCTGAATAATTAACCAGGAGTTATTTTTTTTTTACTACTTTATGTTTTTATCCAAACATAGTTTTTATTATATTTCATCCTACTGTCGTAAATGCACTCAAATTAGTCATTGCCTGAAGTTCCCCACAGTCTCTTTAAAATCTGCCTTTTAGGAAATGACTGATCCTTTTAAAAGTTGCAAAATTGGTAGCAGAAGGTGAATAATGTTGATAGTTTTGGTTCTGTTGTTGCGTAATAAATAGTTTTGTTTGTCACGTTGCAAAATTGCTGGTAATTTTTAACTATGCCTGATGTTATCAGGCAAAAAGTGCTTGAGCATGAATGTTTGTGCTTAACCTTTGGATCGGTATGCATGATGAAATGATCTCTACTCGGGGTTCACCAGCTGGATGATCTTTCAGATTTATTTCCTGATTAGTGTTATTAAACTATCAAACCTTAACCTTCAGATCATGTGAGCCAGTGTTATGTAACACAACAAAATTATAATGTTTTTTGTTTTTTTGTTTTTTTTAATCATTATTATTATTTTGATTTTATGCTTTTGCCATGTCACCATCAGTGGACGTGGAAGTATTTGTGTAATATTTGTGGATGCAATAGGCAATTTGTCAGTGTGATTTGGTATTTTATTTCCTCAATTAACAAAGAATTATAATCATGTCATCCATCCATCCAGTTCATGCTTATCCCAGCTGTCATGGGGTGAGAGGCAGGGTACTTCCTGGACAAGCCGTTAATCTTTCGCAGGGCTGGTCTAATCTGCATGTCAAAATAGCCTTCATCAAGACACCAAACCCCAAGTTGTAAATGTTAGGATAAAAGTTATAGTTTTATAAAGAGCAAGCAGGTTATATAAAGTTAGACATAGAAAAGGGTGCTTGTATGAATGGGTGAATGAGGCTTGCAGAAAGAAAGCACTTTGAGTGCTTAAATAGAGTAGAAAAGCTTTATAAAAGCACCAGTGCATTTACCAAATATGTCACAATATCAAAATCCAAATATAAAAGTGCATACAGAGGATTTGCATATTTTTTGTCGTTTATTTTTAAATGCTGTGTCCCTTCCTGACTCACAGACACATTAGGATGGTAAAGCTCTTCACCTGGTGATTCTGTGTCGGTTTCTGACCCTCCGTGTTCACGGCTGCCTGGGCCTTTGTTGGCTTTAAGACTGAGAATGGGCTGTTCGTGCCAGATGTCTTCCTCTCAGCAGTCCTAATACACAGCAAGGTCTTTAATCCCGTCTATAGTGTTACTGCTTCAGAGAGATAATAGAAAAGCCTCGGTTGGTGTGTGTGTGATTGGTTGCGGCCGACTGTTTCCTATAAGTTTCCTAGAAATGAGTTATTAGTATTAATTCTGCAGTGTTGTCTCTTCCGCACTGAATTGATGCCTTTCTGATATTTCCAACATCATTTACCTTGCAGTGTTTGCACTGTGTAGCTAAAAATAATAATCATTAATGCTCTGTCAATCCCTGCAGATCTAATAGAGGACATGAGAGGTGTTCATGTCTGTTTTAGGACGTAATAGGGTCCTATCATGCAGACAGCTTTAATTATGTTTTATCTGAGGTGACTATAGTTATGTAAATGTATTTAATTGCATTCCTGTTTTTGTAGTTTTTAATCTAGTTAACAGTTTCTCATTCTGTTTTTCTCTTCAGCTGATTTTCAGCATTTAGACAAACCAGTGTGTTAGGACACGTCCCACTCATCGTCACTGGGCAGCCCATACACATGCACGACACCATGGGCAGCTCCCCTGAGGTGCTCTCTTGGACTTCCTGTCCAAGTCTACTGGTGGGCAAGCTGAAGGAGGAGCTCAAACTCACTGTGGTTGGGGACAGCATGAAGAAATCCAGCTCGCCTAACTCCCAACCGCAGCCTCCTCAGGCCCCTCTATCCAACTTACCTCCTCAGATCATCACAGACCTCGCTCCGCCGACACACCTGCCCGTACCCCTGCTGCAGACGCCTGGCCAGGATGAGGAGTCCATGTTGGGTACTAGTCCACCAAACGCAGCCCTGAGCGTGGACTCAACTCGGAGCGAAGGCGGACACTTTGACAACAGCGTGCTCCAGCTGCAGGAGCAGGACCACGAGGAAGCTGGGTCGCCGGCATCCCATGAGCACGTTGGATGTGGCAGCGGCATGGACGAGCATATGGGAGAGGGGGACTGTCCAATGGACCACAATGGAGAGGGCAAGCCGAACCTCCCGCATCACCCTGATGACATCAAGCTGCACTTCCAAAGAGCCCCTCCTGGGTCGGGAGGCTTCTTAGAGGGGCTCTTTGGCTGCCTGCGGCCTGTGTGGAACATTATTGGGAAGACCTACTCTACTGAATACAAGCTACAACAGCAAGGTAAACTTTGGGTTTTATCTTTCTGTTTTGCATCAGTTTAACACACTAAATGCTTTTTGTTTAATTCAGATGTCCCCGTACCTGTGAAACTTCTGAGAAACGAACAAAAGATTCCCTCTTGTTTCTCCTAATGTATTCTGAAACTGTAATTGAATAGCCCGTCCTGGCTTCGCCGCTTTGCTGTTGCAAGTGAAGCTGCACAGCTGTCAGTTTGAATTGAGGTCATGGTAAAGGTAGGCTCACCTTGCCGCAGGGCTGCACGCTCAGGCTGGACGAGAGCTACGGGATATGAGTCGAGGTCAGACAGAACTGGGCTGGATCTCGTGGCTGCTTAGCCGTAGTCTGGGCTAGAGGTCGTAGCTTCTGTTTCTAAAACCACTTAAACAGCATGATTCAGTATTTGAAGGTCTAAGACATTTTATAGGAGCTAAAGGCTTATTTATACACATATTGGTAAGAACTATAAAATATGTACTTTCTGGTGTATTTTTGTGGTCATTTGTGGACACCACTGTGATCAAAGCTGTGATCAAAGTGCAGACTTTCAGCTATAATTCAAGGGTTTAACAAAAATATTGGAAGACAAAATGTGTGTAAATAAGAGGGAGGCAAGCAGAAAGATGCAGTCAGTAGTGAAGGTGGATGTGTTTAAGTACCCGATGCCAGCCATCCAAAGCGACGGGCAATGCACAAGAGGGGTGAAATAGAGAGAACAGGCAGGGTGGAGTGGGTGGAGATGAGTGTTAGGGGACAGAAGGATAGCAGCAAGAATGAAAGAAGGTTTTACAAGATAAGAGACCTGCTGTGATGGAGACGGTACCTATAGGTATCTGAACCTATGGAGCAGGTTTGGCCACGAGAGCCGGTGTCCTGCAGATTTTAGATCTCACCCTGGGTCTTCACACCTGAATCAAATGATTAGTTCATTACCAGGCCTCTGGAGAACTTCGAGACGTGTTGAGGAGGTAATTTAGCCATTTAAATCATCTGTGATGGATCAAGGACGCATCTAAAACCTGCAGGACACCGGCCCTCAAGGCCTGGGTTTGGACACCACTGCTATAAACCAATATGAAGTATTTACTTCTTCATAACTTGTAGGAGTAGCTTCACATTTATATATACCGAAATGAAAGACACACAAACATCCTTATCCTTGGGCTTTAAGCCTATAAAACACTGTTCTGAAAAGCAAGTATTACTGACATTACTGACAAAAAAGTTGCTAAAGAACACATGTAGTTCATCATGTACACTTTGCAAAGTACCAGGATGCTGTGGTCATTTTGACAAAACTTGCTAACCTGATTTCAGACATGTGGGAGGTTCCTTTCGAGGAGATTTCAGAGCTGCAGTGGCTCGGCAGCGGAGCACAGGGTGCCGTCTTCCTGGGCAAGTTTCGCTCCGAGGAAGTGGCTATCAAGAAGGTGCGAGAACAGAAGGAGACGGACATTAAACACCTGCGAAAGCTCAAGCATCCCAATATCATCAGCTTCAAGTAAGTCCACAGTCACTCGCCCTTGTGCGTGACGCGTTTGTTTCATCTGGTGGCGCTCTGGGTGTGTTTAACATGTATTCTGTCTTTTTTTCTGTGTCAGGGGTGTGTGCACCCAGGCACCTTGTTACTGCATTATCATGGAGTACTGTGCCCAGGGTCAGCTGTATGAGGTGCTGAGAGCGGGGAGGAAAGTGACCCCAAGGCTGCTGGTGGACTGGGCCACAGGCATTGCCAGCGGCATGAACTACCTACACCTGCACAAGATCATCCACAGAGACCTCAAGTCTCCTAAGTGAGTTTGTCGGGCAGGAAGCTGATTAACTTTCTGACGGAGGAGCATCTTATACATTTGTGTTGAGAAAACACAGTAGTAGACCTAAATCAAATTTAAGTTATTTACTCTTTTTTTGTGGGAATGAAATGCATAGTTTTCCTGGTGCATCATGAGTGCTGTGTTCACACAATCCATCCTTTCTGCTCTGAATAGTCTGACATTAACTCAAATACCATTCTCAAATTTAACAAAAGCTACTCGTCTTCATGTAAGAGTATGACAGATTGTTCTGTCTCATCCCCGCTGCACGCTTGCATCTCTAATCAATATCATCGTGCTGCAGCAGTGCCGCACACTGTATTAGTCAGCAGAATAATAGCAGTCTGAATGTGCTGGAAAGGTCAGACTCATTCGACTAATGGGGTGATTCAGATGCTTCTCTATCAGCGAAGTCGTTTTGGCTTAAAACTGATTCTAAGTGCTAAAGAAAGAAAAGCTCATACCCTGTAAAAACTTGTGCATTATCATCATCATCAGCCTGAATGTTTTAACCCCGGGCCAACTCATCCTGCTTTGTCTGCCTTTTTTTTTTCCTTTCTTTTTTTTTTTTTACACTCCTCTTAACCAAATAGACTGACCTTGCTGTGTTTTCTCTTTGTGCATCTTTTAGTGTTTTGGTGACCCACAACGACACTGTGAAAATCTCAGACTTTGGCACATCCAAAGAGCTCAGCGATAAAAGTACAAAGATGTCATTTGCGGGGACGGTGGCCTGGATGGCCCCAGAAGTGATAAGAAATGAGCCTGTGTCTGAAAAAGTAGACATCTGGTGAGTAATAGATGAAGAAATATTTTCCACATCATAGAAAAGGATATTTTAAGTGTTATCTTTAATAGTCATGTTTCTGCAATGAAACCTGTCCATCTTTGCTTGTGTGTTGCAGGTCATTTGGAGTTGTGTTATGGGAGCTACTGACTGGAGAGATTCCCTACAAAGATGTGGACTCATCCGCCATTATTTGGGGTGTCGGCAGCAACAGTCTCCACCTTCCCGTCCCCTCCACGTGCCCGGACGGGTTTAAAATCCTCATGAAACAGACATGGTGAGCAAAAACAGCTTTTCTACTACATCACTTAAAATATGATGACTGCTAGAACGTAAACATACTCTGTGTATCTTCCTTCATGATTTTCATGAACTCCAGGCAGGGAAAGCCCAGGAATAGGCCGTCGTTTCGTCAGATTCTCCTACATCTCGACATTGCCTCTGCAGACGTTCTGGGAACTCCTCAGGAGACCTACTTTAAGTCTCAGGTCTGGACCAATACTGAGAAATGCAAGACTACACCTTAACTTTGTGTGCTTTTTGCAGTGTAATTCTTTGTGCAGTGAATGCTCTGGCTGCATGTTGACTGTGTAAGTCCATATTACAGGCAGAATGGAGGGAGGAGGTGAAGAAGCATTTTGAGAAGATCAAAAGTGAAGGCACCTGCATCCACAGGCTGGACGAGGAGCTGATCCGACGCAGGAGGGATGAACTCAGGTGTGTGGGGAAAAGAGAGCAGACATGTGGCTTGTTAATAGAAGACATGGTTTTTAATTTGTACATAAAGCAGAAGTTACTGGAGTTGAACATATGGATGCATTTCATGCATGTTCTCAGGCATGCACTGGACATCCGGGAGCACTATGAGAGGAAATTGGAGAGAGCCAACAACCTCTACATGGAGCTCAGTGCCATCATGCTGCAGCTGGAGGTCCGAGAAAAGGAGCTGATGAAGTATGTCGATAAACATTTTTATCACATCTGTGCTTTACTAGTATCCTGCTCTCATTGTGCCCGTATTTCCTCTCTTTCAACATTTCCAGTAACAAACTGCAACAGAACTGAAAGCATGTTCAGCTAGCTAGAGTGACAAAAATGATCTGAATGGTATCGTCAGTATTTTTAGATTTTTCCTATGAGTCTCTGCTTTTTTTGACTTACGCTTGATGTACATAAATAGTGAGTTTCTTAAATTATTGCAGATTCCTCGATGTAGCTTTACATGTCAGGAATGCTTTTCACTTCCCATTAATGTTTGCTATGTTGTGTTTAACTAAAGTGCAGTGTGACTGCTTTTCCCCCATGATCTGACTTAAATCTAGTTCTGTGCATCACCGTAGGAGAGAGCAGGCGGTGGAGAAGAAATATCCCGGCAGCTACAAGCGCCACTTAGTCCGACCGATCGTTAGATCCAACGCTGTGGAGAAGCTCATCAAGAAGAAAGGAAGCATTTCCCACAAACCTGGGATGCCTCCCACCAAAAGGTCTGATTTTCAAACGTATTATGTCTATTAAAAGTTACACGTTCATGTATCTGTAGGTTCAGCTGCAGATGTGTGATTTATCGCAGCTCAGGTCAGATTGTCATTTAAATACTTAAATGAACTGTTGAATAAAATTCATATTTTCCAGGCCAGACCTGCTTCGCTCTGATGGCATCCCTAGCGTAGACCCTCTCCCGTCGCCCTCACCGCTGTCTGCTAGCCCGAAGGTCTCCACCCCTCCTGGCAAAGCCCGGTACCGAAGCAAGCCTCGTCACCGCCGCGCCAACAGCAAAGGAAGCCACAGCGAGTTCTCCACTGTGCTGAAACCCATTGCTGGAGCACCAGAAGAAACCCACTCTCTCCAGGAGCAACCGATCCACCACCATCATCACCACCACCACCCTCCTCAAACGGAGGGGAACTTTCTCCCCTTGAAAGGTCGCGAGCAGGCTGTTGTCAACTGTGCCAACAACCTGCGATACTTCGGCCCCGCCGCCGCCCTCCGTAGCCCTCAAACTGACCACATGCAGCGCCGCGTTTCTGGCTCCAGTCCTGACCTCATTTCCACCGCTGTGGATGCAGACACACGACAGCGGACTTCATCCACCGGCTCCAAACCTGCATCAGGCGCTGGTGCTGGTTCTTTATGTCCCTGCTGCCAGGCTCACCCCTTCCCCGGCTGTCTACACTGTCAGGAGACCCCTCCCCTATCAAGCCACCCAGAGCTGCCGCACTACTCGCTGCTCAACACCCAAGAGGGCAACCAGTCTTCTCTGGGGGCGCACAACAAAGACACAGTCTCAGATGGAGAGACCACAAAGAAGACAGAGACGCAGGAACAGGATGCATCCCAGAACGCGCACACACTGCCCTCTGCACTGCCCCGCACTCTCAGGCCGCTCAGGAAGGTGAGCAGAGCTGGTGCCTTTACACCGATGAGTATGTAACGTGTGCTTGTGTGGGATTAAAAGCTGTTACCGCTTCTTTTTCAGGGTGGTGATGAGTCATCCGAAGAAGAAGAGGGAGAGGTGGATAGTGAAGTGGAGTTTCCAAGGAGACAGAGGTGAATACAGAAGGTCATTTAGTTTGCAGCAAAAGAAAATGATCTTTAGCAGATCAACTAGGAGCCATTTTCAAAAGAAACTGCTGCAGTAACCATGTGGAAGTTTTCTTTTCATTTTTTTCTCCCCTCTCTCCTTGACAGACCTCATCGCTGTATGAGCAGTTTCCAGTCCTATTCTACTTTCAGCTCAGAGAACCTGTCGGTGTCTGACGGAGAGGAAGGAAACACCAGTGACCACTCGCACAGCGGACCCTTGGAGAGGCTGAGCGCCAGTCAGGAGGAACACCTGGACGAGCTGCTGTCCCACACGCCGGACATCCCCATCGACATCTCCACCCAGTCAGACGGCCTCTCTGACAAGGAGTGTGCCGTCCGCAGGGTGAAGACTCAGATCTCGTTGGGGAAGCTGTGCTCCGACGAACACAGCTACGAGGTCAGTTTGCGTGAATCTCTATGCAGATGTAGCTTGAAGGGTGGTAAGATCCACCGCTTCAGTCCAGATAGTCTTCTGACTTTGATGGTGTCCTAACATTTCCTCCAGCGCCACCATGAGCGGCTGTTTAAAGGATTACTACCAAAATGGGTTTAGCATGCGGATACGAGCATTTAGCTGAAGGCACTTCTGTGGCCAAATAAAAGCTCTCAGATGGTTTAAAGGGCTGGGCTTCTACATATAGACTGAAATAATGTGACACTATGCACATCACTTATTAATAGTAAGCCTTTGCTCTATCACTACTGATAAACACACTCTGTATTCGTATGTAGGGCATTAAATCATTTTACTTTGATGTTTAATTTATTCATTTACAGGGGACCGAATGTGCTCATTTCTAATTCTATATTTTTATCTTTGAACTTTGCTACAGTAGCTTTGAATGATTCTCAGTTTTAAAAAAAAATCCCTGCAGCTCATCAGTTCATCCTCTGCCTGAAACAAGTGGTTTTAGCTGCTCCCCATGCACAAGCAGGAGCAGAGCCGGGTGTAATCAGTCCATACTGACCTTATTATAAACTATGGCACATCTTACATGCACCTTGAAAGAAGCGGGGGTTGGACCCGTTTTTTGGCTTCAGAACTGTTCTTCGTGGCACAAACTCAACAAGGTGCTAGAAACATTCCACAGAGATTTTGGTCCATATTCACATGATAGCATAACACAGTTGCTACAGATTTGCCGGCAGCACATCCACCCACTGTGGTCATAAAGGGGTGGATATGTCAGCAACACAAATAGCCTGTCATATTTAAAGTTGGAACTAATGAATCCAAACCCTTTTTGTTTGGAGTCATAAGAAACATTAATTTATGTTTATTTTATTTACTGCATTGCACAAAACCTCATTCGTGAGATCATAATGCATCTCAAATCATCGCTGATGCTGGATCTTTCTTAATGTTCCCCTGTTTGTTCCCTTTTGTCTCTCAGAATCCGCTGCAGTTTGGGGACTCGGACTGCGATTCGTCAGAAGCAGAGTGCTCCGATGCCACTATTAGAAACAACAAAGTCGGGGCTCCTTCCTCGTGGTGAACCTGCCTAAAGGGCTCATCATCTTTCTTGCCTGGAGGCCATCATGTCCCTCTCTGCTCTGCAGAAAATACAGCAATAAGAGGACAAACATTGTAAACAAAGCTCCCTATAGCAACGTCCTATGTAATCTCTCCCATATGACCCCCACCCCTCATCTAGCACAGCATTCAGGCAACCCATTGCAGGGATTCTCTTTTGAATGATAATGTACAATAGATAGTTTAACGTTCATAATTTATTTTTGTCTGAGTTCTGAAGGAAAATTCAGGAGCTATGAGACATGAGACTTCTCTGATCTGAACAGAGAGGAAATAAACAGACATTTTGAATCCAAACAAGGGTTTACTTTGTGATGGAGAGAGACCAGGACTGGAAGAAGGTGCAGATGATGACGATGATGATCATGATAATGATGAGAAGGGCTTATCAATCAGAGGATGATGGCTTTCAGTGGGGAGATGCATAACTGCAGTAGTTGGTCTCTCAGGTGAGTGACCCAGAATAAAAGCGGCTTTCAACATCTCACTGTCGTGGACAGACATCTCCAAACAACAAGCAAGCGCTCAGCTCATACTGCAGCCTGACCAACCTGCTTTATCATGAGTTTAAAGTATCAAGTCCCAGTACCCCACCTCCTCCGCTTCCACCCCGCCTCCCCACTGTGACTAAAGTGGGGAGCATGGAGCTCATGGAAAACATTGTGAACACCAGCATGAACAACCTGCCTCGCAACTGGATTTTCTCCCTCCCTGAAACCACCGGATGTGTCTGTTCTTCAGGATCCCCCCGCCCTCACGTAGCTGTCGAAGCATGCTTATGCAGCGCGCGAAATGAAAACGCTGCCCCAAGACTGCATGAAGCGGACAGAGCATCGGAGATAAAGACGTGGCCGAGAGCTATAGGGAAAAAAAGAAAAGAGACTCTTCCTCTCTGACTCTGCTCGTCCTTCTCTTAAAGACATGCCAACGTCATCGTCATCAGCAATCAGATGTCACAGGCAGAGTTACTGAGGGAGTTATCTGTGTGTGAGAGTGTGAGTGAATGTGAGTGTGACAACGCAAAGCCCTTTCCTCTCCATTAGACATTACAGTTTCAAGTCTCATCTCAGGATCGTTCAAGGACTGTGAAACTGGACTGGACCAATTATATGAAGGAATGTGTTTTGTTTTTTTTGTTTTTTGAGCGGCACATATTAAGGACCATGCAGGAATACTCGAAAAGGTCTTACAGATAGCCTTGATGTTCAACGTTTTATTGCTGTAACAGACTTTAATGGGATGTGGAGACGAGGCATCCAGGTGCAGTATCCCATTTCTTGAAATCTTCAGGTTCGGCATGCTCCACGGATCATTTTCTAGCAGGGTGGATTATGCCGATGTCCAAAATGGTCATTATTTGCGAATTATAACAGCAATAACACGAGTGAGAAAGAAGTCGCTTGTTCAGGATCTTGCATGTCTAGCTGGCTAGACGCGAGCACAGTGACTGGTAGCTAGCGGAGAGCGCCAGGCGTCAGAGAGCTGCTTATAGAGGCTATTTTTTTAAGTCCAGAGTGGGATTTTAGAATTTCCTTTAAGGCACTTAAAATACTTAAATAAACACTAATCCATTCACATTCAAAGTGTGAATCTTGTAGGCCAGATTTATTTATTTTTCTTAAAATACTTCCTTATGTAGTCCCAAATAGTTAAAGAGTTTCTTGGTTAATCCTTTTTCACCAAACACATGCAAATACAGGTGCCTTTGATCACATGTTTAATAATTTATCATTTTAACTCTTTTCACCATCAGCCCAGCTGCAGGGCCCTTTTAGAAGAGCTCTTTAAATGACCGTAATTCTGTTTCTGTTTGTGCCAGAGACACAATTCAAAGGGTTTCAGAAAGAAGGGATCACGAGCTTCACAGGGATATTTGTTGTGTCACGGTACCACAAAGCATTCACAAGGTACTGATGGCTGAACACGGACAGTAAAACCAACTAAGCCGAGATGTTACCATGTGCACTCCTCAACTGATTTTGCCTTGAGAGAAAATTCAAATGGTTCCTGAAAGATGAAAATTATTTTGTCATGTGTTGTGATAAGGGGTTAAGAAGCATATAGACCAAACTAAAAATGTATTATTTAAAAAATCTGAAAAAATATAGGCTTATGGTTAGCTAATGTCCTCTGTCCTCCTCAGCACACACACCTACTTAAATCTGGATGGTTTATTCATTTATGATTCAAAATCAAAATAAATGCTACACTTCTTCCTAATAACTTGGAACATTAGTGCATGTAGTAAAGTGCAATCAAAGGTTTGAAAAAGCAAGAGCTCAAAGAGTTCCTTCCCTTTATCCAATAAGGAGTGATTGGGAGGCTGGAGCTTCGCATTTCACACCTACAGATAGTTAGGAATCCCCTGTTAACCAAACCTGAAGCCTGAGTACGCAGAGACAACACAGGGAGAACATGCAAACTCCACATGGGGCTCAAATTTAGAAAAATCATAAGTTAAATGCTAATTTTAATATTTTGTCAAGAATCTGTTCTGGTTGTTTGTGGGTTTGTAGTTGTGTCTTCAGCGGATAAAATGCATGCATGGTTGGTTCGAGGTCTTTCCCTGCAGCTTTCAGGCCATCTCCGATCTTTAGTGTGGCGCACAGTCTAATCAGCGTTGCGGCTTTTTTAGCACATACCACAGGTGGTTTCAGAATTTTTGTGTAATGGTGAGATGTTTCGCACTTTAGAGTTACATTTTTTTTCCCAAAGACTTCCAATTCACACAAACATGCACGGCTGCTTTTTTTGAAAGGCAGTCAGGACTCGACATTGTTTTAAAGTTTTTAAAAAAAAAAAAGTATGAGAAAAAGCCTTTAAATGAAATGTTCTCTTTAATGACAAGTTGTGTGACCGTCCGCAGGAAGATGAGATGGTGATGCACTTGGTGTGTTTTAGCATATAACAGCCATACCTGTAAACTCCATATACATGCATGGAAAATCTCACGATTACAGAGCTAACCCTTCTCCTAAAAGCAATCTTTAAACATGTGATCAGAGGGAATCTTTATTTTGTGTTTCTGTGAAAGGTGATAAAATGACTAACCCTGTGCTGCTAAACGGTATGATAAAGATTCAAAACAAAGCGCTGATGTTTTTTATTTTGCGGTTCTTCGTCCAGCAGAAACAGTTTTCTCTGAATTTTTCTGAATATCGTTGTTAAAATGCCCCGTTTTTGTGGCCATGTCTTTGCTGCTTGGGATGGTCAGGTTTTGTGCAAGAGCAATATATGGGCAGCCACTAGATGGCGACAGTTAGGCTTGTGTTATGTAAATAACCTGACTCATCCCTTTTTCTGACTAACATCATTTAATTCCTGATGGTTATCCAGAACAATATTACTTTTTACCTCTCTGGTTGTCGCTGAAAAGGGATACTGCATCTGTGAGAGAGCTCTCTTTTGTTTTGCTTTTAATAAGCCCCATTTCTGTCATCATCCTCACTGATCTGATCTTCAAGCTGACAAACAGCCAGTTTCAATTTAACGATAATGATGTCAAGCTGCCGGCTCGAGCGTGTGCAGACGGCTGAGATTCTGCATATAAAGGAACATAAGCCAGAGACGAGGCCACGGAGCACCGGAGCGACCTCATCTCAGTGTTACTCCTGTACATAAACACCTGCAAATGTCATGTGACCCATTATCGCCTCCCTCCCTCTCTCTCTTTGTCATTGCACAGCTCTGGCAAAGCCTCGAGCTTGATGACCAGCGGACTGGTTGAGCAGGAAACTCTTGAAGTCTGTCCCCACATCAGTATTGAACACTACGGGAGGGTGTGAGTCATAAACCCGAGCAGCACAAGGTGATTATTAACGCCGATGGACGGACTGCCTTTTGCTCCACAGCTTCAGAAAGGCTTACACCTTCTGCCTTTCCTCGAACCTCCTCCTTCACTCTTGTTTACGTTCGTGTGAAATAACCCAGCGTGTTGTAATGACGGGGAAATCCGATCAAGCTGTTAATAACATTATCTTTCTGGCGTATATCCTGTGAAGTATGATTGTTGTGTAGTTTTAATTTTGATCTTCTTTTTTTTTTTCTTTGTAGCTGGCCTACATGATTGTTGAATTTAATTTATTTTGGATGACTGGTGAGGAGGAGTAGTGTTCTTTTTAATTTCAGGCAGCTTCAGAAATGTCACGACCTACGACTTCTCTCCTGGAAAGTATTATTTAAAGGAAGCACAATGAATTGGTCAGGGAAGAGGACAGTATTTGTGTGTGTGTGGTTGAACAAAAGCATCGTCACGTTGACCCTGCAGGGGACCATTCGTCATTTAGCTTTGATTTAGCAGACTTTACATCAGTAATTATCTCATCGTAGGTTGTTAGGAACCACTTTCAAACATAAGTCAGTCAGTGGGCTGTCTCCGCAGTGTAAATGAGGCGTGAAGCCTGGAGGGATGCGCGATGCTGACCTCGGTACATCTGCGGGGACCCCCACTTCCTCTCATTCTTACTGGGAAAAAAACCCAACTTGCATTCAAATTTCTGTGAAATCGTCTCTCTAACTGTGGACATCCTGTTGCCTCGTCCTGTGTTATCGGACTCATGTTTCTTTGTTACTCTTGTTTCTATCCTCTTTCCTGTTGAAAGGCATTATGATCAACCAATCCTGTCAATTTCCTGTATTATCCAGTGTAAAGTGCAACGAGTAACTGGGAGAATTAAATCAGCGCAAACAACTGCATGGAATAAATGCTGTACTGTACCCAAACCTCTGTGGTCTGGCTCTTCTGTTTGTCCCCTACTCTTTACTGCTTCTTTTATTGTCCTCTATTTATTTGTGTGTGTGTGTGTGTGTGTGTGTGTGTGTGTGTGTGTGTGTGCGCGCGCAAAAGCCACGCCGCATATTTTCTGAAGAAAATTGAAAACGGGTGCAATCCGTTCTTCAAAGATCTACCGGTTTTCCTGTTTTGTTACAAAAAAGAAGAATTCAGCTATTTGTTGGTAACACATAAATGTTCCATAAATATCTATCTAGATCTCATTTATGAGTTAGATCTTGAGAGACAGAAATGCATGTATATTCCTGTGTGAAAGTATTAAGCCACTCCTCATTTCTTTATTTATTGAAATGTGCAAATGTTCACTGAATATATAAATTATACAAGACAAAAACAGAGCTTATACAATTCAGTGTTTGGTATGACCACATTAATTGTTCAACACAGCCTGAACTCTATTAGGTATTAAGCAGTCTTCAGGAATAGTAATGAAGTAAAATAAAAGCCAGGCTGAGTTCATGAGTGATGATGTTCCATTGTGAGTTTTCCAATCCAGGTATGATTTTTTTTTTTTTTTTTTTTCCAACCATTGGATAAGAAATCTTCTGGCTGTTATTTCATGGTAGGTTAAAATCTGGTGGTGTTTTTCTGTGTTCATAATTCCATCACTTTTGGCAAGATCCCCAACATACTGGCTGAAATACAGCTCCAAACAACAGACTGCTATAGGCACTTGCTGTTGAAGAGCTCTCCTGACCTCCTTCGTACATATTGACAGTAATTTGAACCAAAAGTTTCAGCTTCTTCACTCCATCAGACTTCTTGTCACTAATTTCAGTCCAGTTTTTGAGTATCTTTTGGCGTAATTCAACATTTCCCCACCTTAAGAATGATTTGTTGACAACCACCCTTCTACTGAGACCATTTCTATTGAGGCTCCAGTGAGCAGTAGATGGGTCAGCTGAAGGACCAGGTTTCTTAAGGACATAACTTTCAGATCCGGTTTATCTACTTTATATAGTATTTCTTTTAAATGTTTTTTAAAGCTTGAACTTCCTTTTTTGTCCTCTACTTGTCCCGTTTCCCCACATTTTTTCACGACACATTGCACAGCTTGCATGGATATGCCAAGCTTTCAGCTAAAACTTCTCTGGGAGTGACCTCTATGGTACAAAAACACTTTAGGTCTGTCAAACTGTGCTATCATTAGCATTTTCCATAAATTAAACTAAATAAATTGGATCAAATAATGTTATTTGTCATGCTCTTTAGTTTAAAAAATGGTTCTTTGATAAGTTGGATGAGTCATAGGTCAGTGTTTAGTGGCAGGTTAAAAAAGGGGAGGGGGTGGGGTGAAAAAGCAGTAAATGTCTGAAGAAAAATTTTAAGAATGACAAAGCTTGGAATACAGACGAATGAGAGGATGCTCGAGACATTTGCACGTTACTCTAGTCCTGTGGAGGCTACACTGTATACTTTATTATACCCAGAAGTTTGTATACTTTTATTTTTTACTATAAAATATCACTGTGTTGGCTTTTAAACCAGCTCTTCTCCTTCCTGTTGACAGGCAGGCTCTCAAAGTTACTTCATTAACATCTTCAGACCTGAGGTTTTACATGCTCTGTTCTGCTGCTGTATTATTCCACTGATTGCGCCTTCTTCCGGTATGAATACCTGCCCGTGGTGTACGTGCTGGTTGCACTTCCTTCGGTTACAAGCCTCGGGGCTCAGAGAGAAGGCGGAGATTCTCGAAGACGAGCGAGTGGAGAAAACCGCAGCTCCGGGCGGAGCGGGTGAAAAGAGCAAACATCCCCCCTCAGCTGTATACTGTGGGTGTCACCGCTGGAAGTTACGATCTGCTGAGGAGAAACTTGCAAACGAGGAAGAGGCAGCTAGATTCCCTAGGATCAAGACACTAAGAGCTAATTTTACTCTCCCAGCCGACGGGTTTTATTTTTTCAAATTCTCTCTTTTTTTTTGTAGCTGCGAGGAGAAGAGATTAAAAAATGTCTTTGATGGACTTAGAGAAGCTGAAGATGACGTGCGCTGGTCGGGCCATGGCAGTGCTGACCAGCGGTGGAGATGCACAAGGTGACCTCACAACTCGACAATATGTGTGGATGTAAACCCGTGTTTGTGTGGTGGGAAAATGTGGCTAGGTCGAGGGCTGAGGTGACAGTAGCTGGTAGTCAGCTCGGAATAGCAGCTGGATGATTAGGGATCAAAGGTCACACAGTAACTACGAGTTTATAGTAATACTTGTTTACTTTACTTGCTGCAGCAATAATCTGATGTTTGCATTCGTACATCAGTAATTCTAAGCCAATCCAACATAATGCACTATTGTGGAATAATAGCAGTACTTTAAGATGTGGTTGTATGCCCATGCTTTATGCCTTCACAGTACCATTTCTAAGCATTTTCAGGGGTGTAAAACACTTCAGTGTTAGTGCTTCTAAAAGGCTAGACCCTTCTGCCTCCCCTTTGAACTCACACAGTGTATCTGTTTCTGACTAATCAAAGCCTCCCATTGTCTATTGCTGCGGTCAGAGAAGATAGCAGATTATGAAGTCATACCCACCTTACCGTTTGATTACCCCATGCAGAGCTGTGATGCAACAGCCTGTGTGCAAAGACCCAAGAAGAGGAAGATCTAACACTTTTTATCCTTGATTTAGGGATGAATGCTGCCATCCGAGCTGTGACCAGGATGGGCATTTATGTGGGGGCCAAGGTCTATCTCATTCATGAGGTAAACAAGCTTTATATGTAACCCTCTTTGCATTAAAAAAAAATGGGACAATAAAGATAGAGGTGTAGTCCCCAAGTGGGACAGATGAAATGTTCTTTGTAATGGCCAGCAGGGGGCGACTCGTCAGACGAAAACTCCTATAAAATAACTCCTAAAGAAGTTTTACCCATCACTTTACAGTCACTTTCAAAACATGAATGCTGTATTTGTTTTACCTTGATTCAGCGTTATTATTTAGGACGTGGCTAATGTATGCGGTTTCTCAGGTAGAAAAACCCGCTGTAGTTAAGTAAATTATCAGTTTATTGCTTCTTATTGTGAGTACATTTTGTTTTTAGTTGGGGTTTTTTTGGTAGACAAAAGTAGAATACTAATTTATTGAACAATAAAGAACTGAGTAGGGCAGTTTTCCTGTTGCCTGGCAACTCAACAGGCAGTTGTCCCAGAAAAAAAGACCATCAGCCCCGGCTTATCCAATCTAGTACCAAATGCAAAAGTAGTGTGAGGCTCAAACTGGGTGACCAGACTGGACAAAGTGGACATGTGTTTGAATGCAACTTTTCAAACTCTCTTGGTAAATAAATACAAAAGGAATAAAAGCAAGTTAAAGTTTGTTCATATGGTGTCATGTGATAGTTTTTACATGCTCCTATATTCTTATTTTACTGTTATTTCAGCTGCTGTTCTGTCTGGTAACAGTCTTCATTTGTAGATTGGAATACCTTTTATGAGCCATATCAGACTATTTGAGCAATTTTTAGTGATTTATGTCACATAAAATACAGTGCAAAAAAATAACTTGCAATAAGGAGACAATTTTGAGTATATATTGGCTTTTTATTTTCTTTGTGGTGTTTTTCTACCGTATTTACCAAACTCTGCAATGCTAGTGACTTTTTGGTAACTTGTAACTTTTACTGACGGGCTAGACAGGCTAACCTTTATTTGATTTTAATCATTTATATGCAGTGGGTATAAAGCCAGACTTTTGAAAACTGTGTGTCTTGCAAAATCAGTCAAAATGTGGGACACTGTCTAAAGATATGGAGCAGGAGGAGAATGAGTAAACATGCTGTGCAGTGGCACTTAATGAAGGGCATCTAAAATCTGTGTGGCAAACCCCTGTAGATAAGAGAGGAGTTGAAAGTACTTGTAGTACGCTGTGTTATTTTGACTCTGGCCATCTTTTACATATAAATACAGCTTATAAACACTCTGAGATTGTTCTTTTTCCCTGTTCCTCAGGGTTACCAGGGCTTGGTGGATGGGGGAGACAACATCAAACTGGCCCACTGGCACAGTGTGACCGACATTATTCAGCTGGTAGGTTAAAATATTACTGTGGTTAAAGGTAGCTGTTATAAGAGACGATATTCAGCACAGAGTAAAAGTTATTTTGCTACAAAACACTTCAGGAGTGGACATTTTCATATCAAGCATGGGCAGTGTGACACTGAGCCACCATACAGGACATGGACACTTAAGCAGCTAATTAAATTCGGCCATCATGGATTTTACTTGTTAAATTTATGGAGGACCTAATTTAGGAATTAATTGTCAGTTTCCTATTTTTGCTCTCTCTAAGACCCCTAAGGATCTCCTTAAAAATTCATGTGGCTTATGTCTGAAAAGAATTTGAATTTTTGTTGTTGTTTTTCTGAGCTTAAAATTTTCTCTATTTCTCTCTTTTTTTTTATAGTTTTATTGTTATTATTTCATCCATGTCTTCTCGTCTCTTCTCTTCCTATTACTGGTTGTAACCTGGTAAGGAGCTTTGCTGCATGCGCTTTTAGCCTAATCAGACGCAGGCTGCACTATTCAGAGTGCCAGGCTAAGTAAACAGTCTTCCAGCCAACCCAGGTGGCCTTGCATAGGGGAGGAACAGTCTAAGCATCTGATTAATTTTTTTCAAGATTGGCACAAATAATAATTTGGATTCAAGGATGAACGGATTGGAATTTGGTGATCAAAGGTCACCGGGACATTTGTTGCCATAATTCAGACATTTATTATGACAAATTTAATACAAATATCTTAAAACAAAAGGATAAAGTGTTGACATTTATTATCCAAATAGCCAAAGGTTCCCTTATTTTTTACAGCCTTTATCCAGTGCCAAATATGTGACCATATTTCACATACGTGAACTGTGTTTTGGTTGGGTGCCCAACTTGAAACTGTAGTGGCTGTAGATAAAATGTGTTTGAGCCCAGTATACTAGATCTCCTGTGCTGCTGGGTTGAAAGTGCTGATGAAGCATCCATGTTTTAGAAGTTGTCACATCCAGATCTGAAGCGTTGTTTGCTCTCTGATGCAATTTTTATTGGCCAAACATAAATATGCTGAATAACTTTTATTAAATTCCTTCAAAACATCTCACTACATTTATGTTATGAGTCCCAACAGACATGGATGCAAACTGCAGCTTGCCTGGTTAGCAGAGTCTTTCAGTGTGAGGTAGTAATTGTAGCTTACCACCAGATTATCTGCCAGAGTATCCCGTTTGCAGGTAAGTCTAATCTGTGTGTACCTGTGGTTCCCAACCTTCTATTGTTGTGTGAGTCCTCCTCCCCAGGTTTATGTTTATGCATTTTGAGAGGTCAAAACCAAAACAATTGGAGAGAAATCTAATTATTTCACAACTAGCTGTTTGAATTTTGTATCCACCAAAAATGCGAACCATTGCTTTATGAATCTCACTGATCTACAAAATGCCTGATTAAAATATTCTGTCTGCCTTAGTTTGGTTTTTGACTAGTTTTACATCTCTGCTGCAGGGTGGGACTGTGATAGGCAGTGCCCGCTGCAAGGCCTTCATGACGCGTGAGGGCAGAGTTTCCGCTGCCTTCAACCTGGTAAAGAAAGGCATCACCAACTTGTGCGTGTGTGGCGGCGACGGCAGCCTTACCGGAGCCAACATCTTCCGCAATGAGTGGAGCGATCTACTCGATGAACTCGTAAAGAAAGGTGAGTGTCGCTCAAGAAGATCAAACTACTCAGAGTGCATATCAGAAACAAGAAGTGGAGTCATTTTTTGTTGAAGTCTCAGAAATGTGTTTGGAGTTTATTTAATTTCAACACTTGTGTGTGTGTGTGTGTGTGTGTGTGTGTGTGTGTGT